TCAAACTTGGCAACTTCAAGACCCGTGGACTTCAACTCCCAGAATTCCACACGTCTTCAAGTTGCCAAGTTTGAGGACCTCCCTCTGCTCTGCGGTTTTATCACAGCACTGGATTGCAAAAGAGAGGCCTGACTGCTGCCGTATGGATGTTGCTGAAATCTACCTTCTGGCTGTCTTGATCAGAACTCCCGTCTCCATCTGATTTTCTTGAGCCTAGACAATAAAAAGAAAATGTCCAAGGTTGGGAAAAAAGGACTGAACTCTCTCTCTCTCTCTCTGCCCCAGATATGTAGGAGATGGCAAGAAGGTGGGAAGGGATTCAGGCAGATTCAGGGCAGCAGCTGGTGGAATCCCTGCTGGGACCAACAGGACCGGTTCCCTGCGAGGGGGGGGAGGCCCCGAAAGAGAAACGGTGGGATGGAGCCCTTTCCTGAGCCAGGAGGAGTCTCCTTTCCCTTGCCCTCCTCCCAGCCCCAGAGCCCCCTTTTCCTCTTCCTTTGGCCAGTCAAAGCGACAGAAGCCGACCCCCCCACCCTCCCTTCCCCAGCCAGAGAAGCCCCTGAGGCTGCAGACGGGATGCTCTTCCTCCCCACGGCCACCACGGAGCCCATCGCTGCCCTTTGGCCCCAGCGCTCAGCCTGGCTCTGCTGCACCAGCCGTGGTGGCCTGTCGGGGCCCGAATTCCCCATCGGCTCCTGCTGTCAGGGGCTGTGTATGACCCTCTGCAGAAGGGACTGTTGCCACCGGGGCTGCGGGGCTGAAGGCTTGCTACGCTGAGGACCCTCCCCTTCCTTGCTCTGGGACGTCTACACCCGCGATGCCGAACCTGTGGCAGGCCTGGCAGAGGTGGCACGCAAAGCCCTCTCCGTGGACATACGCGCCTTCGCCAGCTGCTCTTCCGGTTTCCGGCCCTGGTCTTCATGGCCTGAAAAGAGCTCCAGGAACAGCGGTTTTCCAGGCTGTTTGGGGGCCTTTTGGGGGCTGTTTTCAGGCCGTTTTTTCAGACCAGAAAACGGACGACCCCTGCGCATGCGTTCCGGTTTGGGCCTTGGGTGCCACCCCCGGCCTAGATGGAAAGGGGCTGCCTGTCCCCTGAGGCAACGCCTGGAGGCCCCTGGGGCCGAGCTGGACCTCTGGCCAGGAGAGGCCCCCTCCCTGTGGGAGCGGCTGCCTCGGCCCCTCCGGAGGGAGGCCTGGAATCCCTTCCGACAGAAGCCCCCGGGGTCAATTTTTAAGGACTACAAAACAGCCGCGGCTTCTTTGTTCTCTAGCTTAAGTAGGAGAAAAATAAACTTCCCTCTCAAGCGGCCTATTCCAGAAGGCCCGTCTCTCCTGGGGGCTCAAAGCTATTTTGATCAAGAAACTGAAACAGGAGGATGGGCCCCCAAGCCGGCCGGGTCACCCAAAAACCACCCAGAACCTTTTGACTCCGCAGACAAACCTTCTTGGTTTTGAACATGTCCTTCAATGGCCCCCCCTTTCCCCCCCCCACTTAAAAAAACGGATGCCCCACCCGGCAGAAGCCAAGAGAGGCTTTCTCACCTATACAGGCAACCCACAGTAGTGGCCAAAATCGTGGCAACCTTTTGGGAAAAGTGTACAGTATTTTTGAGGTTTGATGGCTAATAAACACCACTTTTTTATGGGGAGTAGTAGCATAAAATTATATATCAGTGGAAAGATAATTTAATGAAGAATGTAATGCAACAACTTTTATGAAGGTTTTGCTATGAGAATAACAGATATGAAGAAGAAAAGTGAAACACGTAGAAAAAACGAGATAGACAAAAAATGTCAGTCAATACTTAGTTGAGTAACCTTTAGCATGAATAACGGCCTCATAACATCTTCCCAGGGAGTGAACCAAGTCTTTTAGTTCTGCGGCTTTTATAGTGTGAAGATTGAATGATGGCTTCTATTAACTGGGTTTTATTGCTGGCTATATATTTGGCTGTAGCTTTTGATAGAATACAGATAACTGAACAAACTTTGTAGCATTAGATTCTTGATTTAATTATCTTTCCATTGATATATAACTTTATGGTACTACTGCAAAAGGAAGTGGCGTTATTAGCCATCAAACCTCACAAATACACTTTTTCCAAAAGGTTTCCACAATTTTGGCCACTACTGTATACACAATTCTACCCAGACACGCTGGAAAGGCTGCAGAGCAATTACAAACTCTTTGAAGAAATGAGATAGATAGATAGATAGATAGATAGATAGATAGATAGATAGATAGATAGATAATCTCCACGTCTTCAGGAGACACATCTTTATGCTGACATTTTCCTATGCTGTTTTCTGGGTAGAATTGTGTATACAGTAGT